CCCCCACCCCTGCTAGACGGTAGAATTGTAGACAATAAAAGTAAAATCGGTGACTTCAACGACTGCAGATATGATTTCTAGTTAACGTCAGCAGAATAATTGCTCATTATATCTATACCTTTAATCCGATAAACCTAAACCCCGCTGATTTATCAGTTCAATCCCTTTCCCAGCAAGCTTTCACTTTCGATCATAATTTAACCATCCAAGCATAAGCTTTCTTTTTTTTTGATTTTTTGTTTTGGAATGTGTTTTTAATGAAAAGGTCAATAAAGACAACTCCGGAAGTTTAAAGTTTAAATTATAGACCAAAAAAACGATTCGATTCAAATGAAATAAACCGAACGCATTCAATTTTGGATGAAACCAAAAAACTAATTTAACTTTACCAGGTTTGCATCGATTTTACCATACTATATTAACTATAAAGACATGACCGCCATTCATTTCCTAAAAGCTGCGTTTCTAGCAATCATGCTTCGAGCAATCATATCTGCAGCCTTTAATGATGAATCACAGACCACAATATGTTTGGAATATTTTTTTATCGCATTGTAGTGCATGATTTATCAGCTTATGCTTTATAATTTTAGCCAATTAATTGTTGAGGAACCAAATTTAATGAATAGCGAGAACTAGTTTGCTAGTGTGCAGGTTCAAGTTTATGATCGAGGTAGTTCAAATTAATCTATTCAGTTGAACTATTTCTTACGATTTATTAAATTTGGTCAAAGGCCTTTTTTTTCAAAACTATGAAAGATAGTGTAAAAATCCCACTAATTAATGTAATAAATATAGCATGTTATCAAAATTTGAGCAGTAACAAAATTGGATTTTTCAGAAAAAAAACTTCAAACGCTACTCTCATCAGAAGATTCCTTTAAAATCCGCCAGTACTATTACTATTTGTAAATTGTAAGGAAAACAGGAAAAATAACCCAAAATGATGAAAAATGTGCTTGAGTTATTAGTTTAGGATATAAAGGAAATCGATAGATAAATATTGAATTAGTTTCAGGTTTTCTTTAATTATCTCATTGAACACTATTCCAGGACATTCCCGAATGCTTATCTTAGTTTTGCTCGGTTACGTTTTAATTTCAAAGTCCAAGTCAGAAGAACAGAATATCTTTATTCATCTTCTGGAACTTCTAGAAAGTAAATATAAATTTTTCTAAAATATTAACAGCTTGAAATTTCGGTAAAAGTCCCATTAAAGGGAGAAATTGGTATTTTTTTTCAATAAATCTTTGCTGAAATATCTCTAAAAGTGAAAATAGATAAATTCAATTTTGATTTACATTTTTTGCATTATCCCCCTTTTAGCGTAGAAACATACTTTTATTATAATTTATCCTTAGAAATTGAGGGAACTAACATTTAGTCCTCTTTTTTTCAGTTAAAACTTGTTTTTAAGCATGATAACTCTTTGTCATTTTGAACCCAGTAAGTTTATCACTCTAGTTAAGATAAAACAATTTTTGGCAAATACAAACGCAACCTTGTATTTATTCACTTTTGTCACAGTTTTTTGTAAGATTATTTTATTGTTTTAATGATAAGAGACAATGTTTAGTAACTTTTTATCTTTATTTTCTGTGATATATCTTTTGAAAGAAAACCACAGATAAAAGTAATAATTTCAATTCTTTTAAATCTTTATCTATAAATATTATGCCTCATGAGTTAATAATTCTGAGTTGAGTGAGTCGACTTTTATAGAGAACGTTTAGTTTCCAGTCAAAGCTGAGTTTCTACGATAGTATGAAATATTATTGTTTACATAGCTATAGACAGAGGAGTAGAGTTTATATTATCTAGATACACGACCCTGGTACGGAGAAATATTATTGTTTACATAGCTATAGACAGAGGAGTAGTTTATAGACGATGTAATATTATTTAGATACACGACCCTGGTTAGGAGAAATATTATTGTTCACATAGCTATAGACAGAAGAGTAGTTTATAGACGATGTAATATTATCTAGATACACGACCCTGGTTAGGAGAAATATTATTGTTTACATAGCTATAGACAGAGGAGTAGTTTATAGACGATGTTATATTATCTAGATACACGACCCTGGTTCGGAGAAATAATATTATTCACATAGCTATAGACAGAGCAGTAGTTTATAGACGATGTGATATTATCTAGATACACGACCCTGGTTCGGAGAAATATTATTGTTTACATAGCTATAGACAGAGGAGTAGAGTTTAAAGACGATGTTATATTATTTAGATACACGACCCTGGTTCGGAGAAATATTATTGTTTACATAGCTATAGACAGAGGAGTAGAGTTATAGATGATGTTATATTATTTAGATACACGACCCTGGTTCGGAGAAACTTCCTAAGGTTTGGGAAGCGAGGAGACCCCGATATGGTTGAACCTGAACATGATCTGGGTCGGAATATCGAGGAGCAGGACGAGAACCTGCTCCAGGTGGCGGATCAGAACAGCAATCTACTCCATGTAGAGGAAGACCAGGACGGAGATCAGTTCCTAGACCTGGAGCAAGAAGAACACGATGATGAACAGGTAGAAATACAGAGTGTTTCAGAATTTATACCGGTGTACGGTGTCCTAAAATATACCCAGTCTAGGGTTTCCCATCCTAAATCAGGCTGTCCCAAAATATATCTGGATTCTGGAAATACAGGGAGTCCAACAATTTCTATTGCAGTACAGGGTGTTCCAAAATATATCCAGGAGTATGGGATGTTTCAGAAAATATTTAACGTTCCAAATATTTGAAGCACTTGATCAAGGCCACTCACTGAAACAGAATTACAAACTTAATAAATGGTTTATATTTTCATATCGGTCGTAATGATTATAGTACACATCTGTTAGATAGGAACAGTGCTTGAAAGGATGCTATAATCTAATAAGAGAACTCTAGTCTTCCAGATACTAAGAAAGGAAAATATTTAACTTTATTACATACATGACATATTCAAAGTGAAGAAGCGACGAGAACAATCTTCTACTATTTATTATCAATTTCCAATCTTCAAACAATTGAGTTTTTAATTCCGAAAAAAAGAAAATGAAGAAAGGAATTCATTCAGACGAAAGATTTTATATTTTTAATTATGATTTATTTTTATTAAACTAATGATAGAATCTCTTTTAATAGCACAGTATAACTAAAGAGATGACTTTGTAATTTAGAGGGACTTTTCATTTAAAAGGGACAGTTACCCTTCAAACCTTTAACTAATCAAAAATGTGAAAGATTTCGTCGTTTTTCTAGCTTAAAAAGTGATTAATTCTAAGAAATCAACCCCATTATTTTTGTAAGCAGAAATGCACAAGTCAAATTTAAAGAACCCCCATTTGAAAATAGTTAAATTTGAAAAAGAGAAACATGGATAACTTCGCAATTTTTTGATCCGACAAAGCTTTAAAGGATACTGTTGTGAATTAGTAATGGCATCTTGTAGATGGAGGGTTAATTGAAATTATGTTTACAATCTCCCTTAAAGTATTTTTTCTCTGTTATATAGATGGCAGGACTGGAGAAGAGAACCCGGAACTTTATCAGGTTCGGAAAGCGAAGCAGGACGGATTATCCTGAACAACAGCACAGAAGGATTTCAAACTTTCTCAGGTTTGGTCGGAGCTACAGTCCTCAACTCAGTGCAGAGAATAAACCTAGGGAACGAATTTCATGTTTTAAAATCATTTTTGTGTTGATTTATGAAAAAACATGAGAATCATATAAAAAAACAGAATCAGAATCAAGATTAGGATCGAGAATAGGATAAGGATCTGGATCTGGATCAGGATCAGGATCAGGATCAGGATCAGGATCAGGATCAGGATCAGGATCAGGATCAGGATCAGGATCAGGATCAGGATCAGGATCAGGATCAGGATCAGGATCAGGATCACGATCAGGATCAGGATCAGGATTATAATTATTAACAATTTATTGAAGTTCTTGTTCCGATAGGTGCCAAGACATTCTGCCAGCATACATCTGTATCCGATTGACACCAATTAGCTCGGCAAAAAGAAGGAAACCAGAATAATAAACAAATATAAAAAAGTATTTCTAGATATGTTTCTCTTTAAGTGAGATACGTGTAAATGTAATAAATCACACATCCTGTGAAACCAGAATCAAAAAGATTTTCAGAAAATATGTTTCTATTCAACTCAACAAAAGATTTTCTAAAGATCAAATACAAATTTTTTTTTCGACAAGAACAAAATCGGAAGATATTTCTTTGATTAAAATATAAAATATCTTATTCTTTGGTTTTGTTAGACCTCAGCAGTATCTTCGGTTTGGTAGATGATTTCTTCATCTCTTCTCTTCGCTTCCAATCTCCTCCTTGATCCATACCTTTCCGTCTTCCTGATCAATACCTTTCCATCTCCTTGATCCATACCTTTCCGTCTTCTTGATCCAAACCTTTCCGTCTCCTTGATCCATACCTTTCCGTCTTCTTGATCAATCCCTTTCCGTCTACTTGATCCATACCTTTCCGTCTCCTTGATCAATACCTTTCCGTCTACTTGATCCATACCTTTCCGTCTTCTTGATCAATCCCTTAACTATCCTTGATCAATCCCTTCACTTTCCTTGATCAATCCATTAACTCTCCTTCATCAGTCGGTTCACTCCCCTTGATCCGTCCCTTTACCCTCCTTGATCAATTCCTTCACCCCATTGATCAATCCCTTTATTCTCCTTGATCAGTACATTCACTCTCATTGATCAGCCCGTTTACACTTCTTAATCAATCCCTTCACTCCTCTTGATCAATCGCTTCTCTATCCTTGATCAGTCCTTCACTCTCCTTGATCACCTTGTTCTTTCCGTTCCAACACGGCACTGAACATCCGGCCAATCAATGCCCTTCGATAAGACAATCATCCATATTCTTCATAATTTCAAGTCGGAATCTAAAAACTTAAAGACCTGAAGTTTATAATACTTACATAATCAAAATCTAACTCCGAACCATCACCACCAACTGTTAAACTACGGAGAACGTTAAAATTAAAGAAGCAACGACCTATGATGATCCATCATGATCTAGAGTTGAGCACAACTAAAACTCTTTCAAGAAGATCAGAAGAACCTAAACTGATCCAGATTTTTCTAACAAGCAAGTTAAGCTTTGAGCTTTAGAGTACCGTATACTCTATACTGTACCCGGAGCAAACCTTTAACATCTACCGTCTTAGTTCTCGGACCAGATTAGTTGAGTAATCTTGAGAACTGATAATTAACAAGATATAAAATGGTTAAAGAGTTTCCATAATAACTCTCCTACAGCCAGATATTCTGGGTTTAATGTATCCTTCCCCCTCCCCCGGGTTCTTCTCCTGAACCTGGATTCGTTTAGATTAAGATAAAAATTATTGTTTTTGTGCTATCACTGCTATCTTTAATATATATGTGTCCGAGGCTGGAATTAATACAAATAAATATATTCTTGGGAGAAAATATATTGATTAATATTCAGAAATAATTATGTACATTGTACAGGGTTAGCCGCAATTAATCAGACTTAAGAGACGACATTACAAAAAGTATTCAGATTCATTGTTCTCTGCAAATGTAAATGTGTTTTCAAGGTAGAAAACAAAATGAAAAATCAGGTTTCAGGTTTCAGGTTCAAGGTTCCAGGTTTCAGGTTTCAGGTTTCAGGTTTCAGGTTCCAGGTTCCAGGTTTCAGGTTTCAGGTCGTCAATAAAGTCGCATATTATGTGTGTTATCCTGCATAGTATGCTAGTACAAATTCAACCCCTGTACGACATTCTAATTAGCTTAATCTATATAATAAAACAAGACATTCGTATATATATATGTTGTTTATAGTCGGCCAAACTGCTGGACCGATTGGGCTGAAATTTTTTGTCGACACTCATGGGTGGCCGAGGGGTGTTAAAGGTTAAAAAAATTCAAATTTTTTTTATTCCACGGTTAATGCTGGGTCCTTTAGCTAGCTAATCATATACCATTTTTTTATTATTTCTAAAACAAAGCCTTAGGTTTTGCCGATTCCGTGATGACGTCATGAATCATTCATATCAATTAGTGAGGTTCAATAATTCAATTTAATTGATAATAATTTTAAACCAAACCGAGAGGACGTCATAAGTCCATGAATTTCTTCAAATTCTCAATATTCTTTTTTAAACTTTTTAGTAAAACATCATTTTGACTGTAAATTTTTGAAAATCGGGGTATAATTATTTATCATATTTACAATACGTTTGACGGCATGGGAATGAAAATATAAACATTTTTTTAACTTCTGCGATAGAGTTTTATGTACAGGGTTACCCACAAAGGATGAGATTGTAAAGTCTTTTTATGGCTTATTATAGGATTTGATAATGAAAGAAACAAGGAGTCATAAATGTAAGGGAAAAAATCAGTATATTTACCGTAGGTGTTAGGTCATTTCCCCCGCGCAACTTCCCCACCACAATTTCCCCAATCACAACTTCCCCAACAGCAACTTCCCCAGCCGCTAATTTCCCCAACACTAAAAATTCTTAATTTCCCCAACAGCAACTTCACGTCACAACGGCTGTTGCTACACATTTTGAATGTTTCCTTTTCTCCACACAGTTTCAGAATAATTTAGATTTGTCCCTTGACATTGCTTGTAGGTTGTACTCATACTTATTGGGATCCACCAGAACATTTCTCTTCTTCAAGGACATTGTATAAACTGCCAACATTGTCGACTCTAATCCAACTGATTTTTTCACATTCAAAAACTTGCGTTTTTTTTTATTTTAAAATTGCGCATTTGTTCATTGGAGTAATGTTAAAAACGGAAATATTTGATATTTTACTGCATGGGGAAATTGGTGTTGGGGAAGTTGCTGTTTTACTGCATGGGGAAATTGGTGTTGGGAAAATTAGTGTTGGGGAAGTTGCTGTTGGGGAAATTAGTGACTGGGGAAGTTAGTGTTGGGGAAATTGCTGTTGGGGAAGATGCCTCGGGGAAGTTGTGACTGGGGAAGTTACGCTGGGGATCTAACCTAACACCTATTCCGTACAATCGTTTCAGAAGTCTCATCCTTTGTGGGTAACCCTGTATATAAGTAACTTTAAGGATTTAACATTGAATTTACATAAAAGTCAGGACTAAGCTTTAGACGAGATTCCTGTCTTTAAACTCTGGGAAGACTTGACACAATTGATTTTTATATTACTTCTTTTATACGGCATACAGGGTGTTCCAGGAAACATGACAGGAGCAAGACGAATTGAAGGTCGTCTTTGATCCTTGGAATAATTTTGCGAAATTTATTCGTAAAACTAATTTTAGAAGTAAAATTCTAGAGTTAATAATCACTAAATACCCCTAGTCTTTGCATTTCCAAAATGTGGTCTGCCTTTTATATGCGTTTGATATTATCGGAGATATAAAGAATTTTGTTTAGATTTCAACATTTTAGTTTTATTTAATCAAATTGAAATCTGATCAAAAAAGGGCAGACCACATTTTGAAAATGCCAGGACTAGAAGAGTTGTGTGACTAATTATTTCAAGAATCATACTTGTTAAAGTAGGTTTACGACTAAGGGCCACAAATAAATTCAAACTCTACTTTCAAGTCGTCTTACTACTGTCATGTTTCGTGGGACACCCTGTACATTCATACAGAGAAAATTAAAAATTCAATCTGATGTTTTTTACAATATCTGTCATTTAGAATTTTGAACTGAAACAAATTAACAAATAAAGGATTTCGTAATTTGAGGAGAAATGATTGAAAATCATAAGAATCACGGAACCAGAACCAAATAGCAAAATTTCAACTGAAACATTTCTCTCTAAACACACATTTGTAGTAAATGTTTAAAAAATTGGGAAAACAGGAGGAGAACTTTGGGGAAAATCGCGTTGGCAAAAGAAAATTAGCAAAACTTTATTATGTAGTAATTTATTATGAAACATAACAGTAATAAACAAAAAATAGGCTTGTTAGAAGAAAATATTTAAAAACCTCCAAAAAAAGAGGTTTTGGGAATATTCCTCCCCAATTCTAAAAAGGAAAGTTACATATTTATTGTTTACATTCCATTAAATGTAACTGGAAGTAGATTGACGAAATATTGAATAAAATATACAATCTCAAATTTTACAGTGTAACAACTTTTAGAAATAAAAATTTTTAATTCATTTTTAATGTTAAAGAAAATAAAATAGGTTTTACGGGTTTTTAAAAAATCACAAACCGGGTTTTTTAAGCATCTTTTTAATTCACGCCGATTTCTGACATCCTGTATGTTTGTATATATCTTTTACTCTTTTCAATCTTTTTCGTCTTTTCTTTGTAAAATATCATTGTCTTTCTTTGATTCTTTTGCAAACATAGTACGTGTTACTTGTTAGAGTTAAGCATTGGTTCTGCTTATAAAAATCTTCAAATAAATTCAGTATGAAACTTTAAGAAATATTATAAACTGAATCCGGTTCAATTTTCATACAGAACGGATCCAGGATCCGAATCCATTTCCGATACAAGGCAGATCGGAGTCTATTTTAATACAAGGCGTATCTAGGATTCGACTCAATTTTAATACAGGACGGATCAAGAATCCGGAACTAATTTAATACAAGACGGATCCAGGATCCGAAACTATTTAAATACAGGAAGGATCCAGGATCCGAAACTATTCTAAGACAGGACGGGACGGATCCAGAACTATTTAAATACAGGAAGGATCCAGGATCCGAAACTATTTAAATACAGGACAGATCCAGGATCCGAAACTATTTAAATACAGGACAGATCCAGGATGCGAAACTATTTATGTACAGGAAGGATCCAGGATCCGAATTCATTTTTATACAGGAAGGACCCAGGATCCGAATCCGCAACAAAAGAATATTATTATTCCTAAATATTGAGGTGATTGAACCAATTGAGGTTGGATAAGAAAGGTAATATCCTGGATATTGTAAATCCTCTGAACCAACTATAATATCCTAGGTATTGTTGAAATATAATTCAACCGCGGACCAGATCTGGGATATGTCCATCACAGTAATCCAAAAAGTTGCTGCAAGCTCCCACACAAGAATCAAAGTGAATTTTTGCGATTTCTTTTAAAAAACCTAAGTTTAAAACAAGTCCTTCATGATTATGAAATGTCTATGCCTAGGGATACAATAAGTATAAGTGAGTTAATGAAAACTATGAAGGCAAGGCTTTGCGAGATTTCAAAATCGACCCAGCCTGTAAATGTGCCATCATCTCAGATACAGGGTGTCTCAATTTATGTGAACATTTCCGATAGATGCTTGAAATATTTCGCAGCGTTTATTTGTCAACATTTTGCCTAAATTATATACAATCGCCTAAAAATATGCCTTATCCTGGAATTTCCAAATTAACAAAAAAATTAATAAGAAACTTTTCTAATAAGTAATGCAAACATTCATAATTTATTGTTCATAAATTACATTTTAGAGAACACACAAAAAGTAGTGATCACAAAAAAAAATATCTACAGGATTAATTTACAATATACACTTAAATAGATTCTTAAAGAATATTTACAAAGTTTTGCTCCAAAGCATACTAAGCTCGATTTAATTAAATTCTCTGAAATTATAATAAAATAAAAATGCCGTTAACAATGATGTTTATTTCCAATGAGATTGAATTGTTAAACTGATGTTAATTTCATATCAAAATGATTCACATACACACTTTGTTCAAAAAACCTTTACTTACTTATTTTCACTATTCTCCGCCCCCCTGATCCAAACCATACATCCTACCTCTTCAATACTTTTTTACCTAGATTTAATCCCTACCTCTTAAGCTCATTCTCATATGATCTATTCTAATCCATAGATAACTTATTAAATACCTTTCCAAAATATTCTTGGTTGATCTAACCCCGTCACCTTCAATCCTCGATTTCTCAGATTCAATCCCAGTTCAATTCATCCATTTGATCCAATCCCTAGATATTAAATCAGATCCCCTCTTATCATCCAAGCCTAACACTTCCGATATATTTTTCATCAATTCAATCCTTTTCTCCAAAAGATTAATCCCAAATCTTCATTCCAATCCACATCCCCTTGGTCGGATCTCTAAATCTAATAAGATCTTACCAAACCTTACCCCACAAAAAATTTTTCCTCATCAAAAATTCTCCTTATCAATGACACCCCTCCCCATTTCCTTCCTTATTCCATTTTCTCAAAAAAAACCTCCTTCCCAATCCTTCGCTTTTCTCCGAAGACTCTGACCCTTAATCTCCTTAGCTGGGCCATATTTTTTTTTTTACAATTCCTTTCAATTAACCGCTTTTACTGCCTTCAATGTTTAACAACTTATTTTATCTAGGAACAATAAGTAATAAGCAATGTTACTAATTGAGTGTACGAATACAGTCAAATAGTTCATGCGTAAAAAAATTGGATTAATGAACTTAGATAAAAATAAATTAAGAAAACAGAACGGTTATTTGAATAAGATTGTGCATAAATGTATTTTTGACTGAAATTTCTAAGATGAAATTATGCACCAATTATGATTTTATGAAAATTCGAAAATTAATTAAACAGAGATCGGGTTTGTACTAGAAAATGAGTAAACGCTATGTTAGCTTTAATCTCAGATTCCATTAATAAAACACAATATGTTGTTCTTATTGGGTCAAACTTAAACCATTTTGTGTATTTATTTGTACTTATTGACCTTGAATTGACTAGATTTTACGATTTTTAAAGTTAAGAACTACTGAACCAGAATAAAGAATAAATACAAATCTGAAGTAAATTATATGCAATCTATGCACTGTATGTTTTTGGACATTAACCACTTACGTTTTAACTGTTTTTTGATCATTAATGAATAGTTCTCTAATAAGAATCTCATATTGAATTAGAATTGTAGTAATTTCTTCCCTGGAGCCTTTAAAATGATAAACTAATCACACCTACCAGAAAATAAAAAAGTCGAATTTTAAAGATTATATGGAAGATAAGTTATCAAATTAATGGACTATAGAATTGATTTAAATACTTAATTTCTTTTCTTATATAATCTTGTATAATATTTGCAAAGGCTAGATCAATAGTTAAAGTTAAACATCTGCAGATGTACAATTAAACAATTTGATACGTTGGATTAGTGTTCAACGTCCACGTTTGGATTCAAAGTTGGGTTGAATTAAATTTTTTGCCAAACTAAACTATTTAATGAACTGCACATAGGTTTGGGAGTCAGAGCTAAAAACTCCAGAGAATTTCCAACCTCGTTCCGAAAGCTCCTAAAAAAATGTTTTCAATGCAATAAAAGAAAGAACCTGTTAAATTTTTTAAAGTCCAAAAAAAAGTGTCAGATTTATGTCTAGTCTACAAATCCATTACAGGTCTAGTCTACAAATCCATTACAGGTCTAGTCTACAAATCCATTACAGGTCTAGTCTACAAATCCATTACAGGTCTTAGTCTACAAATCCATTACAGGTCTAGTCTACAAATCCATTACAGGTCTAGCCTACCAATCCATCCCAGGTCTAGTCTACCCATCCATCCCAGATCTGGTCTACCAATCCATCACAGGTCTAATTTACCAATCCATCCTAGGTCTAGTCTATCAATCCATCCCAGGTCTAGTCTATCAATCCATCCCAGGTCTAGTCTACCTTCATTTCAGGTCTAGTCTACCAATCCATCCCAGGTCTAGCCTACCAATCCATCCCAGGTATAGTCTACCAATCCATTCTAGGTCTAATCTACCAATCCATCCTAGGTCTAGTCTACCAATCCATCATAGTTCTAATCTACCAATCCATCCCAGGCCTAATCTACCAATCCATCCTAGGTCTAATCTACCAATCCGTCCTAGGTCTAATCTACCAATCCATCCTAGGTCTAATCTACCAATCCATCCTAGGTCTAGTCTACCAACCTTTAAAGCAAAGATGATAACACTCTTAGCACTCTCCAGGTCCTGATGTTTAGGTGAAGGTAGAGACAGAACCCGTCCTGCCTTCTCCACTGCTCTATCAACCAACCTAATTCAACAACGGTAAAATTCAACATAACTCGACTCGGTAAATGAGTTTTCGTATAGTTCCATAAATTAGTTAACTTTTTAATATTGATAAGTTTATATATAGTTCAGTTGACTTTATATAGGTAGAAATGTTTGGTTAAGATGATCTTGTAAATATCTAGAAATATTTATAAAAGTTGTCCTTGCAAATATCTAGAAATATTTAGTTAAGACGCCCTTGTAAATATCTAGAAATATTTAGCTAGGATGCCCTTGCAAATATCTAGAAATATTTAGTTAAGATGCCCTTGAAAATATCTAGAAATATTTAGTTAAGATGCCCTTGTAAATATCTTTATATATTAGTTATGTTGCCAATATAAATATCTAGAAATATCTAGTTTTGTTCCCAATGTAAATATATAGAAATATTAATAGAAATATTATATTTGTTGCCTTAATAAATCTTTAGTAATAATAAGTTTTGTTGCCTTTAAAAATCTCTAGAAATATTTAGTTTTATTGACTATAAAAATCTCTAGGAATGTTTAGTTTTGTACTGCTTTATAAATATCTAGAAATATTATGTTTTTTGTCTTTGTAAATATTTATAAATGTTTATATTTATATTTGTATTTAGCTAACTTTATAAATATGTATAAATGTTAAATGAATTAAATATTCTCTATTACCTGGCTCCATAGGATATTCTCCAGGGATACCTTCGAACCTTCCACTCCCAGGATACCTGCAGAAATACATATTCAAAATTATTATTATTATCATTAAAATTATGTTATATAATTATTATTATTATCATTAAATTTATTATTATAATTATTAATATTATCATTAAATTTATTATTTTAATCATTATTATTATCATTATTATTGTATTGTTTACTGGGAATGTTGATGATTTATCATTTTATTAATGCGTCATAACACCAAATGTAGCGACTACCTACAATTAAAATTTTATTATATCATAAAGATTTATTCACACACAAAGATACAAATACATATATAATGGTTCAGTTTAAATTTATTTAAATAAATTTTTTGAATATGTAGTTTTACAAAAGAAATAAGAAAATACGCAAAATTATGCACAAATAAGCGACATTGATCATTTCATTGCATAACATATTTAGCATTTTAGTATCATTGAATCCTTCAACATATTTAAAAGTTCTTGTAAAACTGGAACTTTCCATGCATGGTCCAATGGGACATCAAAATATTTCATTTGTTTCTTAACTAACATTTTAGTAAGATCTGAAAGATTTACAGAACAATCATTTGCAATGGAAAATAAATTTCTGCCAATAACTGTGTTAAGGTCATTTTTGAATAAATTAGAAAGAAATCTAATGCAAAGCTTAAGTAAACCAGACTCCAATACCAACAGTTGAAGTTAAGAATTTGCAACAAGCGGTTTTCCTACAGATGACCGCAGGAGGAGAAAGAAATATAGAAAATGCTCTAGAAGTCTCTTCTTTCAACTTGTCGGTTGGGAAAAATATGAGTTGCCTGCTACAAGCCATAAAGGCAGGGGATTTCTACCTGGCTGAATATCTATGTATATTTAATCTATGATGAAGTTAGATCTGGTTAGTTTGCTTTTTCTTTCAAATAATGTTGGATTATATAATTAAATTAGGTTCTAAATTTACTAATTAAATTACAAACATATGTATTTTAAATGAATAACTGAAAGTTTTCACATGAAAAACTACTTATTTACAGTGAAACCCTTAATAACGAATACATCGAAAGAATTCTTCAAACGTCGTATTCTTCACTTTCTGATAATGGAATGTTTCAGATATTTAGTTTTTTAAATTAAATGATTATATGGAACTGTTTAAAACTGTTCCCGCATATTCATGGCTATTTATTTATTTTCGCAAATGCTGAAACTTACGTAATATAGCATAAAACTCATTGAAAAATTGTCAAGACGACATTTCATAAATTCTTCCGATGTATTCGTTATTAAGGGTTTCACTGTATGTTTATCTTCAATAAATTGAAATTGAATATTTTGTTTATCTTAAGAAAAGTTTTTGGGATTATATTACATGAGAAAAGAGTTCATGTTAAATATTTAAATATACCATTACTCCGCCCCACCCCCTCTAAATTTTATTACTGGAACCTATATCTGTCCATAAATAGGTTGAGTATGTTTTAGTAAACAAATACTAGTAATCTGATATAAAGAGTGATATTGGTAGGAAGTTTGAGATATTTGATATTCTGCAGTAAACTACAGGGGTGTCTGTTTTATGGAGAAATAATTACCCCACCCAATAAAATAATTCTTTTCCGCAGTAGACATTAAAGGGGAAAATAGTGAGATTTTTGAGTAAGCATCTAAACGGAAAAACTTGCCAGTTAATGTATAATTCCCCCCCCCCCCCTGGAACCTTCTTTTGTACACTACAATGTACACCTGTATACCTTCCTAGTCATACATTAATATTTGATTAAAGAGAATACAAGAATACAGAGTAAACACAAAACCATCTAAATCTATGTGAAGTTCGATCTATTTGCACCTCATAGTGCATTATTTTATAACTAAAGTGAAATATGTGAAAATCATATCTATTATAAAGCAAGGGAAAAATTAAAAGACGAAATTTAATTTTTAGATGCGTTGGACAAATTAATTCATTGATTTCTTCCAATAAATTGAACTAAACTCAAAGCTCTACAAAAATTTTACTAATAAAATATGGACACCTGGCATATAGATAGTACAAGCTTAGTAATAGTTTAATTATGTTCTCTACGACCAAAACATACTCCTTTCACAGCAGTTCCGTTCTTTTACACGTAATTGAGTTTTGTGTTTACCATTAGTAGCAACCAAACTAACATAATATTTCTGGAATAAACAGATGTAAAATTGCCAATTAGTTATGAACAAATTAACGTGAACACCCTGGGTTAGTCCGCCCCGCGGCATTTTAAAGAGCAAGTTTGCGCTCTTACTTAGCATTCATACAATCGTTAAAACACCTTATTGTTATCAAATGAATCCTAATATTTTATTATAAAACACTTCACTCTCAGCTCAGCCTCACATACCCAGCCTTTCTGGTCACTCCTTCTGATGAAAACGTTGCGTAATAACCATATGCTTTGTAATCAGGGGCGGATCAAACCATTATTTCAGGGGAGGTGCGCTATATTGCGCGCGTAAGCGCTCAAAAAACATTTCGGCCCCCCCCCCTGGGCCCCCAGTGAACAAAAAGCAGTAAATTTCTATTTCTTATTTGTTCAAAAAATATAAGTTTACAAACTCTAGTTCTACTTTCTGCCTGTAAACTCTTTCTCCTACTTTCTATCTGTAAACTCTAGTTCTCCTACTTTCTACCTGTAAACTCTAGTTCTCCTACTTTCTATCTGTAAACTATAGTTCTCTTACTTTCCATCTGTAAACTCTAGTTCTCCTACTTTTTATCTGTAAACTCTAGTTCTTCTACTTTCTATATTGTAAACTCCAGTTTTCAGCTTTCTATCTGTAAACTCCAGTTCTCACACTTTATATCTGTAAACTCCAGTTCTTCTACTTTCTATCTGTAAACTCCAGTTCTCCCACTTTCTATCTGTAAACTCCAGATTTCATACTCTATATCTGTAAAACCCAGTTCTCCTACTTTCTATCTGTAAACTCCAGTTCTCCTACTTTCTATCTGTAAACTCCAGTTCT